AGTCAAATCAGGTTGTAGTATGAAACTGACAAAATTTTCCAATTTTCAAACAAAATTTGTTTTTCTGGAAGATATAAGAATTCTAAAATATTTCGTCGAATCATTCTTTTTCATGTCTATTATTCTCTTACTCCAGAGCTACAGCCAAAACAAGACCAAAAAACATTGAGAAATAAGTTAAGCAATAGGCTTTTGACTGTTTTACACTTATTTGTCTAATTATAAATGTTTTCCAAAAATAAACTGTTATTCCTTCAAATACTTCCTTCTTGTACTGGTAATGCTTAACAAAAATGTTTAATGTTAACAATTTTTAGTAAAGAAATTTTTTTTCAACCTGCGATTGAGAATGTTCAACGAATTTATTTGAGGGAAGACAAGCGGTGAATCAAATGGTTTCGCAAAATCGTATAATCCTTCGTTGAGATCCTTCAAATGTGATGCGTAAGAATCGATATTTGTACATCCTCGTTTCCCTCCGGTTACGGAAAATATTCGATTCGATTCCACTCCCGCACTGCTATAAACCGCTACATCTTTACTACTTCCATAAGCTGCCGTAATAGATAAACCCATTTCCAAGTAGCTTTTCAAATGAAGCACTTTCTGCCTAAAAACAAAATTTTGTATAATATAAAGCCAAATTGTCACCGACAGACATTCCGTACCTGAAAATCTAACATTGTCAATTTATGACAAAAGATTCGAAAACTAGTAAAAGTGACCTGAGTAGATCTGTTGAAAATGATGGTGTGAAAATGAGAAGACCATGGGGAAAATTATGAAGCGCAAGCCACAGAGCTACAACTTTATGCTGCATGTCAGGTCTGGCAGTAATATAGATGATGGTGTAACCCTGGAATACATTTTGGCTTATCCAAAATTTGATACTTTCAATATAATCAATCTAATCCTAACAAAACTACACAACCGATTTTCACCATCACTTATCAAGAAATCGATCAATTGTCCACCCTGAAGACTACAGTATTTTTTTTGTTCAGTGCATGAAAAGAAAAAATAACTGACCAAATCATACCAATATCGTACCACATCGACAACTCCTGGTCGAACACGTGGATCACGTCCCGTAACCGATACCGAAGCAGTAAGCGATCCATCAACACTAAACACCACAAATTGTTCGCCGGGTGGTGCCACAGCAATATATAAATCCAGAAAAGAGTGATCTCCATGCACAATTAATTTTACATAGTGTATTCCAATAGGTAATCGCTTCTTAAGCTACAATAATACAAGAACATTTAATTTTTTGACTAAATTTGAAATCATTTCCTTCTCCTACTCTATAGCAATAAATAGGTTCATGAAACTAGCAAAAACACTGTAGAGAGAAATTAATACATACCTTTGATTGTTGAAAATTTTTAATATTAAGTTAAGAAATTGCTGATTAAGAAACTTTGAAATCAGAGTGGTGGAATTTGAATTAACATAAAAGTATAATCAGAAATTGAATGTTTTGACAAATCAATTTTTCTATTCATGCAAAAGGTGAAGGAAAAAAAGAGATAACTATTAAATATGAATAAATAAACCTCAAATGTAATTTTGCCATGAGAATCAGTAATATCTGTTTTAACCAGCTGCCAATCACTTCCAGTAGGTCGTATATAAGCGGAGATACTTTCACGGCTTAAAGCAACTAAATCCATTGGTCCATAACAGAATCGTGCGTGAATGATTTGCTCATTTCCTTCCACACAAATCACGTCATTACCGCTGAAACTCGGCGCTAAATTGGCAACCTGTAAAAAATTTATGCACTTTTTTTTCTTTTCCTCATTATTAACAATATAAGTTTTAAACTAAACTTATATTCGAAACAAATTGAAAAAATATAGGAATTCATTAAACAAAACATCTATATGACGATAAACCAAAAATTTGCATTATTTGCCTTATATTTAGTTCTTTTCTTGTTCCATAATGCAGGGCCAAGCTTAATTTCTGCTGGAATTTTTGCAATACTAGCCAAATTTATTGGACGTACGCCTTCGGAGTGTAAAAATCGTCTGAAAGCATTACTCATTTTGATAATTGCATAAACTTTACCGTTTCAAATTATTATTTTGGCCATAAAACGAATATTTTTTAACAACTTTATATATCGAACTATAACTTTGTCCCCATTGATTTCAGAAAATTCTTCAAAATACATCTCGAAATACAGAAATCTTAGGGTTAACTTCTTTTTTTTCTCAAAAATCTCTATTAGAAATTACACGCAAACATATCAGTACATAGACTTCATCATGTTAGAAGTTTATGGGTATCAATTGTCAAAAATGAGGAAATTATCCGGGAATGTCAGCTGTCTTTCTTTTCCTTCCCTGATTGTGCGCATAAAAATATAACTTGTCATTTTCTAACAAGAATTCTTTTGGGATCAAAAAAAATGAACTAACTTGAGGATAAAAGCAGCTACATCATCACTTTCCCAATATGAAGCGTGGAGAACATTGGGAAGAGCTGATGAAGGCAAGGCAATCATAGCATGCGGAGAGTGTAATATATGGTCGATACGATGATTACCCCAAAGTAATGACGAATCAAGTATACTATAAAACAGAAATTTCTCGGTCGTCTCATAAATTTTCAACATGAGAGAAAAAAAAACAACATGAATTAAAAATGAATTGTTCGTTGGAAAAATATCACTAGCGGAATATTCTAAATTTCAAATTTTTCGCAATTTTTCGG